CACACACACACACACACACACACACACACACACACACACACACACATTATATACGAAAAGGAGAAAGAAAACAAAATCAGTTCAAACAGCCGCTTCCTGTGACCTTCCAATAATCCTGGGGATTACCCTTCCCCAAAGCCCTAGCATTTAAGGACTTTCCATTTTATAAAGCAAACTCAGAATTGCCTGTTTAATCTTTACAAAAACTCTCAAAGATGAGTTTATGATCTCCATCCCACACAAAAGAAACCAGGTTGTAGAAAGGTTAAGTCACTGTCTGTGAACACAGTCAGAAACTCACCAGGGATCGCTATGGAACTAATAGGCTTGGCATTTTTAAAATTAATTCATTAGATAAAGTCAACTGAGGAGGATGTGCAAGGCAAGAAAGCTAGGTGCACAGGGGGGTGGGGGCAGAAATGATGGTTTCTACACATCTCCAGCACACACTGTCTGTGAGTCAAAGCCATGAGTATAGAGGCTAAGCAAGAAAGAGATTGAGGTCAGCGGACTCTCCAAAGAGAGCGTTGTGGGAGAACCAGCGGACTGGTGGTTTGATCTGGGAATGAGCAATGATAAGTTGGGGAGGTCGCAGCTCATGTTTTCACCTGGCCACCACATAAATCTCTGAGCGGTGCGTTACCATCAGGCTGCCCGCTTTAGTGTGTCCACTCTGAAGCGCTGAGGCTTATGCTCCAAAGGTACAGAAATCCTTGTATCTCCACCAGGTGAATGGATTCCACCAGTTACAGAGAAGAAAATGCTGGGTTTGAGAGAAGCACATTTGGACCTCACAGCCCTTTGCTGTATGCTCTTTATACTAGTCATTCTCCCTCTCTTCGGGGGGGGGGGGGGAGACAAGTTTCTTCATGCATGGAAGAAATGGCTAGACACACTTAAGACCTCTAAGATGCTTTTCATCCTATAAAATTTTCACAGTAACCTGAAAATTGGCCATGGTTACTTAAAGCAACTGGGTGCTGGTTAGTCTTGTCAACTTGATGCTTACAAGCTAGAGTCACCTGGGAAGAGGTAACCTCAGCTTGGGAACTGCCTCCCTCAGACTGGCCTGTAGTCCCATCTGCGGGGCCATTTTCTTAAGTGATAATTAATTGATGTTAGGAGGGCTGACCCTGTCGGTGTTACCATCTCTGGGCAAGCAAACCCAGGCTATCAAAGGCAAGGAGCTGAATAAGCCATGTGGAACAAACCAGTGAGCAATGTTCTTTCATGGACTCTGCTTCGGTTCTGCCCCCAGGTTCCTGCTCAACCTCCTGCCTCAGTTTCCCTCTTCCTGCCCATGTTGCTTTTGGTCATGTTGCTCATCCCGGCAACCAACAGAAAACTGGGACAAGGGAGTTGCAGCTGAAGGATAGGGATAAAGTGAAAAATGTGAGCAGAACTGGGAAGTGGAGGAAAGCCTTCAACTGTGAGCTGGAGGTCTGGGAGAGGTTTCATCAGCCTGGGAACCTCCTAAGCAGGCGGCAAAGGCATAGCGGGCCCCTCTGCTCTAGGGCCCAGACTGGCTGCTTCAGCTTGCAGCCCTGGTTTGCAGGGCGTGGGTCTACTGCTCTCCCGGTTGCCCACCAAGGAAGGTGTTGACAGGGCCGTCCCTGGCCCCTCACCACCTCATGGACCACCGCATGGGAGGGCTCCTTACCCATCGTGTTGTTGGCTCGAGAACAGGCTGTGCGCTTCAGAATCTCATGCACCTAAAAGGGAAGGACAGCAGGGCTATGATCGCCTGGATCACGTGCGTCACCACCCTGTGAGGCAGCCTGTCTGCGACAGAGGCACGGGCCTCATTTGGAGGGAGGGGACGCCAAGCATGTGCGGAGCTCATGGCCTACTTGTCAAACCCATTCAAGTGTAAGCATTTTGAGGAGGCAAAGAATTTAACCCCTCACACGCACCCCTCATCCCATCCCACCCTGAAGAATGAATCAATAAAAGGCTATAAATTGGCTGCAGTTGACAGAAGGGAAGAAAAGCAGAGGCAGCCTGCAACACAAGCACCCTTGAGGGCCAGGAAAGAAGAGAGAGAGAGAGAGAGAGAGAGAGAGAGAGAGAGAGAGAGAGGGAGGGAGGGAGGGAGAGAGAGAGCCTGTAAACACTTGCACTCATGCATGCACCTCAGGGAAGGTGGGACTCCCTTACAAGGCGCCTCCTCCACCAGTCAGAGGTGTGGGGTGGCTAGGAGAGCCTGAGGGGATGCTGAGAGGGCACATGGCATATGCAGTCAGGTGCAGAGGGGCCTGAGCCAACTCCAGAAGATCTGGTCCTCTGTTAGTAGCACTCTGTCAGAGAGAGGCCTAGGGGGCTTCTGGAAGACAGTGAACATGGCAGTGCCTGGTGCAAAAGAGTACGCCCTATCCTACCGTTCTCATTTGCCCAACCTGTTCCTGAGTTCCCACCCTGCCTGGTCACAACTGCTTTCTCCCACGGCAGAGGTGGGCAGTCTGCAGGCCTCCTGTTCTGTTGCAGCTCAAGTCTCACAAGCCTAAAAGAGCTAGAGAACTCTTGCACCATCCAGCTTGCCATGGGGACTAACTCATATGGAGGGGTGCTCTTTTCAGAGAAACTGAGGCTCTCTCAATTCCTGGCTCAGTGATGGCCATCTAATGACTTCCTTTTGAGACCCAAGCCTCAGCCAGGCCAAGCAAGGGCATCCTATCTGAAACAAAGGAACAAATAAATGGGCCAACAAAGATAGGGGCACAGGAAACAGTCACAAATGCATGCAAAAGAGACATCAATCAAAAGGCCACGGTGGTCAGGATGAAACCTAAGGCTCTATTTTGCCCTTCTCATGCTTTGGGGGTAGATAAAGAAAAGGAGGAAGCATAGAAAAGGAAGCTTCTTGAAGGAGGGATGAGTGAGGAATGTGTTTCATCATCATTATTCGCACTCCCATATTCCAGCCCCAGACCTAGAGGGAGTGGTAAATAAATAGTTTCCAGCAGAATGGGGCTCAAGAGTGTTTAATTCTGCTTCTAATACAGCAGTAATTCAATAGCGATAATAATTAGGAACAGCATTTATATGGCATTGTATTATTTTACAAGCACTTTGCAATAATCAGTTAATCTCCACACCCTGTACCTCCTCCTTTACCCCCAGTGTGGGGGCCAAGTGATGTTGAGAATTAATTGACTTATAATAGCATCAAAGAGAACAGGAAGTTTACACCCTTTTCCATAGGAAGGGAAAAGAAATCATATGTCCACTTTTTGATCCTTCCTAAGGCATGGCATGAAGGGACCAGAGATGTGTTTGTTTGTCCCTGTGTCTTGGTAATGCTCAGTGACTTTGCTCCCTAATCCTTTTACCCTCCTTATCACCAGGTGACTTGGAAAGTCTTTCTCGGTCTCCCTCCCTCCTTGATTCAGCACTGGAAATGTAAGCTCTTTCCTAAGGAACTTTTCTTGTACACTTCCCTTATGGGAATAAGTTCTAGCATTTTTCTGGCTCCTCTTGCCTTCCTCTGCCAACAGGCTATGTGTTCTCTAGAGTATTAGAGAATAAACTGAGGGGCAAATGAAGATACCCTATGTCTAGAAATGGGGCCACAAGAACAGACACAGATTCTTATTAAAATCAAACATCCAACACAATTAAAAATTTTGGTATAAAAGAAAAGAAAGGAAAAAGAAAGAGTGAAGAGGAAGGAGAGATGGAAAGAAAGAAGAAAGAATGGAAGGAAAGACAGAAGAATAGACAAGCTACAGTCAGGAATGCTGACTGTTTCATTACTGGGTACGCTGGCTAATTAGCATTTCCTGTGAAATAAATTTACATGAGTTCTTGCTGATGGGGTTGAATGAGAAAAAGTTCACAAAAAGGCACACTATCCCAGCAACCAGGACTACTTCTAGTCCTGTTCAGCCACTAACAATCTATATATCTTTTTCTAAGGTATTGTTTCTTAGAGCCTCAGTTTCTTTATCTGTAAACCAAGGGGTTACCCTAACTCGTGTCAAGTTTTGTAACATCCCCTGATTCTGTGATTCTAAGAAAAGTCTGCAAGAGAGTTCATAAGCCGCAACACCCCCTCGAGCCTTAGCAAAGGAACTTATTTGCTCTTTCTTGCACTAATGAGATGGGAAGCTCTTGGATGCCTTCCAGTCGCTAGGCAACTCCAAGCAAATAATGATGAGAGATAGCCAGGAGGGAAAGGAAATGCCCTGCCAACCACATACCCAGCCATTCCCAAAACCCTTTACTAACGCCCTTTACTTACAATGCGGCTCCGGGTGGCGTTGTCAAAGAAGGTGTCCTTTTCCTGGATATTGTACCTAGAGGATTCAAGAAAGCAAAAGGTGAACCCATTTCACTACCTCACCCTGACACCACTGTCCACACAGCCCAGGGCAAACCTTTAGGAAGCAACATGGCAAAACACAAAAGTTCTCACATACTCAAGCCAAAACGGCATGGGTGGCTTGTTTCGACCCAGGAATTCTGAAAACTCATTGTTGGAGATTGATCATAATGAAAATAAATGAGCAGAAGAAAAATATCATAAAAAGATCCAGTGCAAAGCTGTTCAACTTCAAAATTGATATGAAAGATTGCTATGAAAGAGTTGAAAATTGTAATTATGAAAAGTTTGTGATAGAAAACATTATACCATGACAGGTTTTCAAAATTAAAGCACATGGGAAATACACCCATGCCTGGACAAAGACAGTGAAAATTCAGGTTAAGGGGGGAGCCTAGTTTGGAGACATTGGGATTATAACTATTTGTCTTTCAAAATTCCATTTTTATTCTCACTGTCATTCCATTTGTAGATACGATACTCAATTATGAAAGTCCTGTAAGTGTTCAAACACTGAACAACAACAACAACAAAAGGCACTCAAAAGACAGTCAATGGGATCCAGAGTTCCAGGGCAGCCTGGGTTACACAGCAAGAACCTGGCTCAAAAACAGCAACACAAAGTTCCACAGCACCTGTGGAATGCTCCCCATGTCAGGGTCATTACCGAGGACATAGATTACTGGACCTTCTCCTTACTCTGCTGGGAATCATCAGTCACATGAGTCAAAATGACTGATGCAGAGTAAAGCAAGATGCTTGTGTAGGCTGTGGTTATGCAGGGTCAAAGACAAAGATCTGACTTCTTCTGATTGATAAGAACAGAATCTTATAGGGGAAAAAAATACCTGGCTGCTAACTGGCTTTAGAGGAGAGTAGAAGTGAAACACAGAAATGTATTGGAGATTGCTGATCAGAGGTCAGAGTTTACATGGATGAAAGCCGGGGGTGGGGGTGGGAGGAGCATGGAAAAAGCCAAAGACAAAAAGAGCAGCAGATTCACAATCTGTGGACCCTTGTGTGATACACTGATCTGCCGAGCAAGATATGAAATAGTGCCCTGACTGTCATGGAAATAATCAGTCACTTTCTCATTGGATTTGCCTGGTACTGTAAATCTAGACAAAAGCTCACAGCTGGAAAGGTCCTATTCCCTATGGTAACCTACTAGTCTTTCTTTGCTAAAAGGACATATTAACAAACTGCCTTCTAAATATTTGTTTTATATGCAAGATTAGGGCACTTTCAGTTTTGGTCAGAGAAGCTTCTTTTTGTGGTAAATGTGTCAAGAATAAGTGGTTCTTGAATGCTTACCCCTAAACAGAACATTTATATCACCCATTCTAAGGCTCTGAGAATTGAGAAAGAGGAGGAGAAAAAGGAAGAGGAGGAGAAGGAGGAAGAGGAGAAAGAAGAGCAGGAAACACTGTAGTAACTACAGGGGTAGGAGAAATAATCTTATGAACATTATATGGTCATTCGCTGCGCCCCTGAAATCAGAGTAGCTGTAGTTACCTGCACAAGATGGGCCCGGGGACCCTCATAAGTGACATTCCATCATAGATAGGAGAGGAGTTTTAGAAGCCTCGCCCTTCCCAAGAAGCCATTATTTGCTACTGGAAGTGGGGGGGTCGTTTTCTTCAGTGGTACAACTGCTGGTTAATTGCCCATACTTTATTATATAACTCATGGCCCCTACCTGTGAAAACTCAGTGTGTCACAAGAAAAGCAAACAAACAAGAAAAGATACAGAAGTATGAAAGAAGCTTATTGGGACGAAGAAAGGTCTCAGCAGAAATGGGAGAAAGATAAAATAAGGTAAAGAGCAGTATATATGTTCAAACTGCATTATACACATGCTTGAAGAAGGGGTGCCATGCCTGTTCTCGCTGTGTCGCTTAACATCTGTGTGAGCCTGGATTGGCCTTAAAATTTGTTTTCCTCTTTGGAGCAGAGGGAGAGTTCTAAGGTCACAAAGGCGGGTGGGGACTTGCTGTGGAACAGCATATGCACATTCAAAGAATTGTTATCAGTCATGGCAAGATAGTGGGACGTATCCTCTAAAGCTCACAGAGACACTGCTGAAACTGAAGGATCTTTCTGTCTTCTTGGGCCTCTACACCCCTTCTTTGCCTTACACGCTCAATTCTCATCACACCTGATAGCTACAGGTTTTCACCTGAGCTCCTAGTGCATGGCTTAGGTTGCTGCTTTCATTTCCTACCTCCCTATGGCCATTCCTTCTATAGCTTTCCCAAATGGTCATGCCTGCAAAGAGATTTTTATTCACTCTTCCTGGGTGGGGACAGCATTTCCACAGAACAAGGGGAGCCTGAGTAGGCGAAGGGTACATACAAATCAAGAATCTACCTCCACCATTTCTTTGTTTTATCATGTATTGGGAAAACCTAACCAGATAAACTTGGCAGAGGGCCTTCACCACAGAAAGAAAGCATTTTCCTTCTTGTGGAGTTTTACAGTTCAGGCCTGGCTGTCCCCTGGCTCTCCATCTAGCCTCTACAGTGGCCAAGAAGCAGACAGATGTTCCTGCATGAATGTCCAGGGCTGTTTGGAAAAGCTTCATGAGGGAAGGGCAGTCAGAAGCACAGGAACTATCTCCCCTGGAGAGCTGCCTCCTCTACCTGGATCCCAAGCCCCAGGGTCATCATTTCCCAAGCCTTAAGCCTCAGGCACAAAATAACACTGGAGGTCCTTCACCAGACCCTCTCATGTGCCTGCCCTAGTGGCTCCCATACTCACAGGTACATTTTTTCCCTGGAGAATGGGTAGGAGAGGTTTTTCATCCTGTTGTTGCTGTGTTCGGGAACTCTAGGCTGCAGCGGAGAGCTAAGCATCCGCAGAATGGCACTGAACTTCTTCGTGATGCTGCCTCCGGCTTTGATCTCGTACATCTATAAAAAACAAAGCACAGCACACCACCTGAAACACTTGAGGAACAGCAAGGGGCATAGGTCCCCGAGGGAAAGACTCTGAGTGAAAAAAGGGGGATGGAAGGAATAAGGAGCAGGGCTTTTTTTTTTTCTCCTCCATTACTTTTCAAAAGCCTCTCTCAGCCATGTGCTATTGGAGGTAGCCAGTACAAGGAAACATGCAGATTCCAAACTTTCTACCTGACTGTCCCAACATCTTACAGAAACCACAGGCTTACCGTGACAAAATGGCCATACCTCCATTGGATAAATGCGTATAGAATTATAGGAAAAAAAAATACTGGGTTCCTGACACCAGTGGCTCTGATTCCACACAGCCCAGCTAGATATTACATTAAGGATCCAAAAGGTGATTGCTGTTGTGCAGGGATGGCTGGTCAGGGAGCTTGGGGATGCTCCTGCCTCCTCTGCACTGAGGTTTCAGTGCATGTCATCATATTAAGCTCTTTGCATGGATGCTGGGGATGGAACTTGGGCCCCTGTGCTTGCATGGCAAGCACTTTATCAACTGAGCTATTGTCCCAGCCCCCACAAATACTAAACATTCAATGAGATCTGTCCTGACTAAGGTACAGACATACTATTATGATGATCACTAATAGATATAGCTCACATGGTGAGGGTTTTTTTTTTTTTAATGTGGCAGATACCACTTGTAATGTCTACATTTCAAATTTTATTTTTTTAAACATTTATTTTATTTTTTTATTATTAGTTACATTTTATTAACTCTGTATCCCAGCTCTATCCTGTTACCTCATTCCCTCCCAAACCTTCCCTCCCTCATCTCCTCCCTGCCCCTTTCCAAGTCCACTGATTGGGAAGGACCTCCTCCCCTTTCATCTGACCCTGTTTTATCAGGTATCTTCAGGACTGGCTGCAAAGTCCTCCTCTGTGGCCTAGCAGGGCTGCTCCTCACAGGACAGGAGCCTACTGCAGAGGGCCTCTGAAAGACTCTACCTAGCAGTGTATCAAAGCAGATACTAAGACTCATAACCAAGCCTTCAGCAGAGTGCAGGGAATCATATGAAAGAAGGGGGAGTTAGTATGACGTGGAAAGGATAGGAGCTCCACAAGGACCAAATATATCTGGGCACAGGGGTCTTTTCTGAGACTGACACTCCACCAAGGACCATGTATGGATATAACCTAGAACCTCTGCTTGGATGAAGCCCGTGGTAGCTCAGTAACCAATTGGTTTCCCATAGTAAAGGGAACAGGGACTATTTCTGATAGGAACTCAATGGCGGGCTCTTTGACCTCCCCACCCCCCAAATTTTGTTTTTTATTTCAATGTTTGTTTTTTTATGGGTGTTTTGCCCGCATGTGTGTCTATGCACCATGTGGGTACCTGGTACTCACTGAGGCCAGAAGAAGGCATCAGATCTCCTGCATCTGAAGGTTGTGAGTGTGGTCATAGGGATTGAATCAGGCCCTCTGACAGAACAGCCAGTGGGCTAAATCTCTAAGCCATCTCCCCAGTGCGCATGACAGCCTTTAGACTTCCAGGTTCACAGATGCAGTAATTTGAAGCATAGATGCCATAATTCAGAAATGCGGTATTAATGATGGATACAAGTTCTACACGGGTAATTCTCCTTTTAAGATACAGCATTCATTCCTACTCCTTCCTCAAACCTCGCTGGGCTTTGGAGCCACCTGATTAGCAAAAATGTGAGAGAAGGGACACTGGCCACTATCCTATAAGTTTAGTAGCCTTCCCTCCCATGTCCTAAAATGTTCTGAGAGTCCCCATTGAGGGAAAAGCACTTGGCCAGACTCCCTTCAAACAGCAGATATGGAAACAAACCCCCTTGAACCCCAAGCCACCCAGAGACCTCAGCTGCCACCAAGTAGAGTCAAATGATCCTGACCTTGCCTCTGCTCAAGTTACTGACCACAAAAAGCCACTCCTGCCTACTAACTTTGGCTACTGTTAAGCTACTAAAATCGGGTTAATTTTTCATGCTGCCGTGGATGAATAGAACAAGAGCCAGTACCCAGATATTCTGACTTAAAAGTCTGCCTTCTTCTCTGCCATGATATTCTCTAGTTGCTGAGAACAGTCATGAGGTGGTCCAAGATAAAGGCAGCCAAAGGTGAGCAGATGATCTCTGAGGCTCCAAGAAAGGTGGCAACACACTTTCAGCTGAGCAATCTGAAAAGTGTGTCACTGGTGTGTGTGACGTATGCTTCAGCTGGCTTCTTGCTCATATTGTAATGAGAATGATAGGCTGTGGGAGGGAGTCTTCCAAGCCAATAGCTGACCTAGAACTGCTTATTTCTTCTGAGGAGTTTATATGTATTTTCCGCTTAAAAATTAGCACAGTCCCCCTATTTAAAAAAAAAAAATCATAGGAAATTATTAGCTAGATGGTAAAGTTTTTTTTTTTTCCTTTTTGATCCAGTCTTATCTTTTTCTCCTGAGGAACTCTCTGTTAATAGTTTACAGTATATTTCGTCCAATCTTCATATATGTGTGTGTGTGTGTGTGTGTGTGTATGTATGTATACATATGCATGTATATATAGTACATACATACACACACATCACATTCATACTCACTGAGACTCTTCCATTTCCCACCATGAAAGAATAACAGAGACTAGTCCTGAGAAAATTTAAATATGCAGACAAAAATGCAAGATACAATGGTTTTCCAGAGAGTGGACATCAGGCAACAGAGGGAGAAAACAGACAAGGTGGGTCCCAGGGTTGTTCCAGGTCCCTTCCCTGAGAAGTCAGGGGAAACAAGTAGATCTCTCAGGGAATCTGTAACTCAGATTCCCTGAGTTACAGAGGCAGGAATATAAGCCTAGGGAGATCAAGACAAGAATCCATAAGAGAAGATGCAGCTCAGAGCACCACGGTGCTCTACTGAAGGTACCCCTTGAGCCTCATAGGTGTGGAAAAAAAAATGGCTCCATATTAGAGAAAGTGCCGTCTGGCAGGATGGAGAATGGCACCTATTTCCACAGGCCAGATGGGAAAACACTCTAATTCTTGGGGCATGGAGCAAACACTGGTTGACTTGGAAGTGGTGGGTAATGAGGCTTGGACTGAGTTCCTTCAGACCCACCTAACAGGTCATAAAAGAGGAAACTAGGCTAAGTAGCCCTGAAAATGTTTCCCAAGTCTAGCATAGCTGTGACTCAAAATATTTAAGGACAAGAAGCATACATTCATGGCACAAGCATTTCCGGCCATCTCCCAGAGGTCCTGAACTCAATAGTTAATGGTGTCAGGTGCTGGCAATGTGCAGGGATGACAAGAACTCGAACAATGACCCTGCCCCTTGCAGCTTGCTTGGCAGCTCATGCGGCACCAGAACCGTGAGCAGCTTCTCATCAGAACCCATGAAGACCCTGCAAGCCCTACCAGCGAGGAACGGGACCACCACCTCACAGATGAGAAAAGCAAGGCTCAGGGGTACAGGGAATTGCCAGAGTTAGACATAAAATTGAGCCTAAAACCCAGGTCTCCTGGATGCCCTCTCTAGGACTCTTCTTTTACCTAGACAGCCTTCCATCCTCAGCAAAGCCCCATGGTCTGCCCCAGATGAGAAAGCATGCTAGAATGCCCCCTTTCAGCCCAGTGGCCTAGGGTTTCATTTCACCTTCCCAGAAAGACACTCAATGCTCTTTATTATTAATAATAATCAGCAGTGGCATCATTATTACTGTTATTCTTGGACATCAGAGGATGATGAACATCCTCGGAAATGGCGAGACACATGTTAACCAGCTGCTCCCCATTAGGCCTCCCTGGGTACACGATGCGCCTCCCTGGGTACACGTTTTGCCTTTCATGTGTTTAAAATCATAAATAATCGTTAAAGTATGTTGCTCTTATTTTTTATTCCTGGGCTCAAATGTGGTTCTCATAAAAGCTTGCTTTGGCCCCACTGTCACAGTCTAAGGGGTTCACTGAGATTTCTTTTGTCTTACTTCTTTCTTCCTCCTAGTCTCTCTCCATCTCCCCCCCCCATGGGGGCACATCAGTGTGGTCCCAAGGCTGATTTGTTTCCTCTCTGCATTAAAATCATGTGCTTTCCTGAGACACTGGGAGCTAAGGTTCTAGTGGTCTCTATCTTGGACAACAATCAAGTCATTGTCCCCACTTTACAGATAAGAACATTGCAAGTATAATGAATATACATCGAGGACCCCCACCAAAACAAGAAAAATTTATAGCAAGACAAAATATAAATGCTCCAGCCCCAATGATCCCTCGCTCACTTTTCTCTACAGTGGCCTGTGAGGAGCTCTCTCTGCAAATGGCAGGACAGGTCAGGCAGCAAGATTATAGGCCAGTGATAAAGATGGGTACTGCCCCACCTGGGCAGAAGGAAAGTCAGTCCACCTGTCTCTCTGCCTGTTAGTTTTTCCTCAATTAGCCCAACACCTGTTGTCAGGTGTTCAGCTGTCACTCTTTCTAGCATCTCTCTCATCTCAACAGAGTGTCTGAAGGTTACCTCATGCCTTCAGCTCCCTTTACCAAAAGCTGCACCAGGCAGAGAAGTGAGACACACAAGATGACATGGGGACACGGGCATGAGGTGAACAAGGAGGGAAGGTTAGGCAGCCAGAGAAGAGGAAGCCAAGCAAAGATTTGTAGACCTTGCCCACTGCTTTCGGTGTTAGACTCAGCATGTGCTGCTCCAGGTCTGAGGAGTTCCAGGCTGCTAAGCCTCTGTCCTCACTCACTGCCCATAAGCACATTTGTCTGCGCATGTGAGTGCTAAGCTGTCCCCTCCCCCCACCAAAATGGAAGCAACACCAGGAGCTGAGAAATTGAGTTGTAAACCTGAAGCCAGAAGGGAGGTCTTGGTGGGCATACCCAGAGACTGAACAGCACCTCACCTCTCTACCTATGCCTACAGGTTGCATTTCCTGTAGGTAGCGACCATGTAGATCATGACATGCTGACAAAAAAAAAAAAAAAAAAAAAAAATCCTTCTC